TGAGGGCGGGCCCAGTGGAGGCCTGGGGAAGGGAGATCCATCCCTGAAGATAAAAATGAGTCCTCGAGGCCAAATGGTCTCTTGGCTGAAGGTCCCAGATATTTAGTAACCAGATTTGGACTCTGACCAAGGAAGAGGCATGGGGGCGGGGGGGGGGGGAGGAATCTCAGCCATCATGGCTAGATAGACCTCCCCAGGGTGGTAGTGGTAGTGTTCTTCCTCTGCCTTTACCCCACCCTTTGCAGATTATATCTGGAAAATGAGCACACACACACATCCCCCCCCCCCCCGACGCCGCCGCCGCCCCCACCACCCACCCACCCATGGCCCAGCATTTTTGTGAGAATAAAGTTGATTCGAAATTACTTAGACCTCTTCTGCAAATGCCCATTCCAGGTCCCACCCCAGACCCATAAATCAGAACTTCAGAGCATAGCCAGGCAATCTGCTGTTCAAGACAAGACCCATCTCTGTGTACCGAATGTTTAAACCCACTGCTGAAGCTTTGGGGCTCTAGCAAGGCCTTGCATGTCTATGTTTTAGAAAGAGGAGGGTCCGTTATGGTCCTGACTGGCGTAGTAAGCAAAACTTGGCTGCGCGTAGAGATGCGATGGTTTGAAACACAGCTGAGCGAGTGCTGACTAAGAACCTTTGCCATGCAAGAGGAGCTCAGTCTTGTCGTCTGTGCCTGCCGACTCATGAAGTCACCAGTGAGAAACACAAAGGGTGAATGGCAGGTGTTTGGCCTCAAAGGACTTTCACTCTGAAATTCAGGGTCTCCTGTGAAGCGACATGTGATTTGGTACTAAATTACTTGATGTGAAAATTAAACATTAGTTAAAAACGGAGGCCTGAAAAAAGCCAAACAACAGGCCACAAACAGCCTTGGAGGAGAGATGGGTTGTAAGCTGGACTGTGAAGAATTGACAAGGCTGGGATCTTCATAGAGACAAGATGTTCCCAGCATCTTTTCAAGGGGATGATGTCAAGAGTGAGTCCTAGAGGTAGAAGGAGGCTTGGGTTCTGATAGCGTAGCAGAACACTATATTTTCTGGAGAGAAGGGATGCGCTGGAACATATAAATGGGGTTGAATCATGAAGGGTCTCAGAATCTATGAAGAACAATCTAGAAAAAAAAGGACAGCTATTTCAGGTTGTTTAGTAGCAGGGACTGTGTTCTTCCACGGCCCCACAGGAGGAGAAAAGGCATTCTTTCTGTGGGTACCCAAAGCTAGATACACTCACATCCTAGAAACTTCTGGAGAGACCTAGCTTAGAATTTGCATTTGAGATGGACGGCTGGGGATTGATGGGAAGCAGAGGGGAGTTGGTACTTTGGCTGAGACAACCTGGCAGGGGAGAAGGGCTCTAAGTCAGTCCCAACATGACTGGACCCAGATACAGAGTTGAGTCAAGGTCTCAGGCTATGGAATCTAGTAGAGGGGGCCAGGGTTCACAAACAGGGAAGCAGATGTAGAAGCCAGCAAAAGTAGGAAAAGACTTGATACTGTGGAGTTAGTCTGTTATCCATGGTAAAATGAGACTCATGGGATATGCTCCGGAAAAATTGCAACAAAAAATCAGTGATGGGCCCTAAAAGCCTTAAAGGCTGACACTAAGCTCCACCCAGCTGTGGGGTGGAGTCAAGATTGACTGTGGTATGCTGTCAGGGTCATTCCACAGCTTGCGTAGAGATGTTGTTGGACCATAGCTTTATACCGTTAACATCTAGGAAGCCATGGTGTCCAGTTCTGAAGATGGTCATCAGTTAGAAACCGTTGAGAACATTCATGCCATAGAATGAGAATATTCACATGACAAGATTGAGATATTGAATTCATAGCTCAAAGATATAAAAGCAACTATTTACCAGGCTGGCTCTGAAAGGGTGATGTTGTTTGTCCAGAGTGTTAAAAGTCTAACTTGGGATCTACAAGAAAGAATGGGCTGACGAATTAGTGAAGTGTGCTGTGGATTTTGGAAGGTTGAGTGAACAGTGGCTTCAGCACCATTGTTTGGCATATCTTACTTGACCTCAATCTCCAGACCCGTATGTGAGGAGGAAGGGTCCGTGGATATGTGTACTCCTTGTGGGCACAGAACTCAAGGAGCAGTCCAAGAGCTGAGGACTGGTGATGCAGTTTTCCTTTGGATCGTCCGGCTCTCCCCATCTCCTACTCACCGCAGAGCCATCACGCCGACCTCACTTTCCCAGGCCCGCCCTTGGCTTCTGTTGGATTTCTGCATTAGGAACTTGGCCTCAGAGCTGATTTGCACAATGGCTAAATTTGTTTCACATGTGATCAGTCCACTTGGGGATGGATTCTAGGAAGAGGGATGGCAAATTGATTCAGAATTCCCACGTGCTGGAAAATGGAATTAACTAGGGCGATGGTGAGAGCTAGCTGGGAGAAGATGAGGAGGAAGAGAGGGAAGAGGGAAGGGGAGAGAGGATTGCTGGGGAAAGACAGTGTGAGGGAAACAGCAGTAGACTGACTCTCTTATAGGAATAAAGGTCCAGAATCGAGGTTGAGGGTTATGATCTGCTCAGTGGAGGTGGGGTTGGCCAAGAGGATGAGATGGAAGAAGGAACCTCATGTTTGTTGAGCAAGGCTGTGGAAAGCCATGTGGATCCTTGGGCAAGGAAGATGCTCTAAGCCTGGCCCTTCTGGCACAAAGCAGGTACATAGTCCGTGTCATCCAAAATAAGCAGCTGTGTGTCGAGGTGTCATCCTCAGACACCCTGGAGCAATGATCGGGGCTGTCTTTGGAGAAGCAGCAGTGACTCGAGTCCCAGAGCAGTTAATGGACTCCCCCAGTTTGCAAAGCGACTGATCCTAGACAGGGTTCGAGTCCCACTCTCTTTTCCCTGCTAGTGTCTTAGGGACCTTGCTGCTTAAGAAGAAGAACAAGGATAGGGGCATGGTACCTCAGGCACGCACCTATCTGACGTCGGCAAGGTCCTGAGTTCAAATGCTAGCCCTGGAAAACAACACAACCAAAAGGAACCCAAATCCAAGTTGAGGACCAGCCTTCGGTGATGAACTCCAAGGGGTCACTTTTGGTGTCTGACAGTGTAGCTCAGTGGATAGAGTACTTGCCTACCACACACTGCACAATGGATTCCATACCCAGTACCCCATAAAGCAGAAGGGGAGGCACGGGCCTATAACCTTAGCACTCAGGAGGTGGAAGCAGGGGGATCATCCTCACTTACAGAGTGAGTTTCAGGCCAACCTAGGATATGCATTAGACCCTGTCTCAAAATAATGGGGAAGAATATGGGGTTTCCTCCCTCTGTTTGTTACCCTGCTCTCTGGCAGAAACCATCAGTGTCTAGTGCATGGGACCTGGGTCTACTTTTATCTCTAATTCCTAAAGCACAGACCAGCAGTGCACGCTGCTTTGATATTCCTCAACAAGGCACGTGCGTGTCTTATTGAGGAATTGGCTTCCTCACAAAAGAGACTGCCTTTGCTGCTTCCATTCTCCGACTTCTTCCCTTCCCTCATTTATTTGATTTTATTATTTAGCTAAGAAAATCCACGATAAACCATTTGTTTGGGAAAACACGCAGCCTGCTGTGTCCGGATTGCCTTCAAGTGCTTTTGGTATTTGGAGACTCTTATTATTTGAGTTTGTTCAAAGAGGCATTCTGACATGTCCGGGCAGGGTGGGAGGGTGGGCTGAGCTCTCTGAGGCTGCCGGCTCCACCATCTCATCACAGGACACCAAGGCTGCGTCTCACCACCAGCTTCAGAGACGAACCCCGAACTTCTGGGGCCTGGCTGGAAAGTGCCAGCCAACACTGGCAACAGGAGCTGTGCCCTCGGGGGCGGGCACTGAGAACCAGCCAACTGGTTTAAGGCGGCCTTTGCTGTCCGTGTGGGCTGCTGGCAATCAAGCCAGAGTCCAGAGGACTCTGGGGAAGTCACCCCCACAGCCTCCTTCAGCCACACAGCTGCACTCGATCTAATTTAATTTAGTCTGATCATCTTCCGAGCACAGCATGAGCCGTACCATCCATCTCAGTCAACACAGGGGAAAGCCAGGACCAGGAAGGGGCCCACCCAAGGTCACGCTGAATCCCTCGCCTTTAAAACTGGGAACACAGCTTCCACATTGCTATAGAAACGCATTTAAATGAATAAAAGCCACCGGGCACTGTTTTAATTACACTGCTCCGTTCTGGGGATAGATCATTATAACGCAAGTGCAAACAAATGAATACTTTCCTGCTTTTCTTTTTGGAGAGGAGGAAAGCAGCATGGTGCCAACGCAAACCGCTTGATTGCGTGGTGTTTCAACAGTTCCTACTGTCTTAAAGAATCTGTGGGTGTTACATGTTGGCACTTTTTAAAAACACCAACCCCCCCCCCAACCAAACCTTTGATATTGTGATTTCTAAAAACTTTATAAATACATTTATGAAAAAAAGCTTGTTATTGAAAACTTAGAAATTTGTACAAAGGGCTGGGGTGATGGTTCTGTGGATGTAATGCTTGACACACAGCTTTATGATCTGAGTTCATCTCCCTGGCACCCACAGAAAAGCCAGGCCAGGTGTGCATACCTGTAATCCCAGAGCTAGGTGGGCAAAGACAAGCAAACCCCTGGGGCTAGCTGCCTATCTGATCTAGCTGAAATGGTGAACTTCAGATTAAATGAGAGACCCTGCCTCAAAATACAAGGAGAAGAGCAGTAGAAGATACCCAACCTCCTCTTCTGTTTTCTACGTGTACCACACATGGGTGTACCTGTACACATGCATGTGCACCCACCAAGACGTGTCTAAACACAATAGAAAACAAATGCCATTTTCAGTGACAGTTGAGAAATAACTTTTTATAGTCTCATACTTCTTCAGTCTCTTTTTCTATGAATATATCTTCATATATATATATATATATTTCTTTAAATAAAGTTAAGATTTCTTTTTAATGTACAGTTTGGAGGACTAAGATTTCGGACTGCACATGACCTCATTTTTTTTCCTACAGTGTGAAGATCCCAAACACATTCTTCTGTAATGAAGAAACGAAGATACCATCCATTATTCTTACAGCATTCATGATGTCTGAGTGTTGTAGGAGGATGGGCTGAAGCCAATTACCATTCCCGTCACTCCATGCTCAGAGAGGAGAAAGGAGCAGCCACTGCCCTAACTTCCCGAGAGCTGGCCTGTGTCCCCAGCCTCACAGCTCTTGGCAATGACAGGCATTTGTCCCCCTGACCCCTTCCATCTGCAGCCAGGTCCCTGGCTTCCTTCTCGGGAAAACTCATAACTTCAATCATGGATCCTCTTTGGACATCTTGGAACACTGACATATGTTGAAATGTCACATCTTTCTCAGAAGCATCTAAATATTACCAAACGTAATGATCTTGATCTCTGGTCACCTTCTACGATCCACCTTCAAAGACTACTCCTGATTGACAGGGGTGCATATTTATGGATTAAGATGTAGCATTTCAATATATGTATGTGATGAGTATTGATCGGACTGGGGTAAGTGACACACGTCACCTGAGATAGTTATCGTTTCTTCAGGTTGGGAGCATTCACAATCTCTACTATCTGTGTTGAAATGTGCGACTGTTTTCAAACATACTTACCCTGCTGCACTTTAGAAAGTTTGATGTTCTCCCCTATCCAACTGCTCCTCTGTGCCTGTTAATTATCCTCTCTCCACTGCCTCCCCAAGCCCTCCTGGTCACCACCAGTCAGGTCTCTGCTCCAAAGTCCACTATGTGGTCTCCTCATGAGAGTGATAACATGTGTGTGTGTCTTTCCATGTCTGGCTTATTTCATTTAGTAAAATGTCCTCTGTTCTACCCATCTTGGTGCAAATGACAGAATTTTAATATCATTCTCTTAATGGCTGAATAGTATTCAATTAATATACCTATCACTTTTTTTATCTACCCATCTATGGAGGAACACCTAGTTGATTGTACACTCTGACTTATGATAAGTGATTAAATAAACATTTGAATGCCGATGTTTATTTGACATATTGATTGTTTTCTCTTAAATATACCTACTAATGAGATTGTTGGGTAATATGGGAGTCCCGTATCTTTTTTTTCTTCTGAAGAACTGATATACTGATTTACTTTCCCACCAAGAGTGTATGAGAGTCCCCACTTCTCCACATGCTGGCCAGCGTATTCCTTTTGCTAGAAGCGTTTCTACTATTGCCCAGCATAATTCCTAACTAAATTCTAAATCTTATCCTTATCCCCACTGATCAGTGGCACCATCATCCCTCATCCAAGGCACTGGCGAGCGTCACAGAGAACCACAATTGGACACAGTGGAGAGATCAATGGATTTGGGGACACCCAGCCCCAATGGATACTTCTATAGCACAGGTCCTGCATCTATCGCTCAGGGAACATTGTGGAAGAGGAAGTGGAAAGACTATATGAGCCAGAATTCCAGGAAGTCTGCTGTGAGACAGTCTCTCCTAGAAATGGCTGCATAAATAAGATTGGAGCAATGGCAATATCAATGGACATGTTCACATGGAATGGGGGCAGCTTTAAGAATTCCTGCCCTAGACAGAGAACTACAGGCAACTGTTGACTGCTGGGAGAAGGGGAATTAGCCTGTTCTGGGGGTGAGCCCCAGACTGGCTGTGCAACCATGTTGGCCATGAAACCATATACACACAAACAACAAAATGAGATTCAGCAGCTTGTATTTATATGTATTTGTGCACATACATACATCCATACATGCAGTATGTGCACAAATACATATAAATATGTACTCCAAAGAACAGGAGACTCTCATCTTGAGAGTCGGGGAACCTAGGAGGGATTCAAGGGAATAGCTAGGGGAAGCTGGAAGGAAGGAAGAGAGGGGGAGCAATGTAATTCTATTTCAACTGGAACCTTTTTAAAAAGTCTTCCTAACTAGAACGGGAGACTACACCATAGTGATTCTGATCTGCATGTCCCTGATGATTAGAGGAGCTGAATATTTGCTGTTTTGTCATCTTATATTGTTTTTTTCTACATAGCTATTGGCCATTTGGATTTCCTGTTTTAAGAAATGTCTACGCCGTCATTCACTCATTCTAAAATTGGCCAATTTGTTTTTTTGCTGTTCGGCCTGCTGCCGCGCACTACACTCTTCCCTTTCCAGGCAGCTTTCCTGAAGTGCTGTTTATCCGGGCACTGTGTGCCATCTCCTCCATCAGTTCCTGAAGTGTTGTTTATCCGGGCACTGTGTGCCATCTCCTCCATCAGTTCCTGAAGTGTTGTTTATCCGGGCACTGTGTGCCCCCTCCTCTGTCAGGTCCTGAAGTGTTGTTTATCCAGGCACTGTGTGCCACCTCCTCCATCAGGTCCTGAAGTGCTGTTTATCCGGGCACAGTGTGCCACTTCCTTTGTCAGGTACAAGCTGGATGGCACGTTAACTTCTAACTTAGCCAAGGTTACAATAATAGTAAGAGCAAAAGAAAACAGAGCACCTCTTGCGTGCTGTGATAACTCTGATTTTTAAAACGTTCTGATTTGGGTACCTTGTGAGATGACTGGATCATGCAAATGAGCGTTCCTCTTACCTCAGACACTTGTATTTTCACGATAAGGATACATAACATCTACTCTCCCGTTGCCCTTCCAGTATATGGGAGAATGTCTTCATCCCATCTAAGTAGAACTCACATCCTTTGACCTGCTCTTCCCTTCCCATCCACCCTGTCCCTGGCAATTACTCTTCTGTTCTCTGCTACTGTGAGTGTTGCTTGCTCTGATCTTTTGAAATGCCTTCCATCCAGCTTAGCTTAACCAACAACTTTTCCTCCAATTAATCCTTCTTACTTTCCTGAAGCTTGCCCCCATTCATTCTCTTATTCTCTCTGTCTCTCATTTTTAAATCACTATCTTGTGTTTCAGCCTCAAGTCTTAACACCTCCCTCTCCTTTTCTATGAAAAAATACCCCTTTTTAGAAGGATGTTAGTTCATTCACACAGCCATAACAAAATAACATGGAATGGGTGACTTTGTCAGCTTATGTCCTCTTAGTTTCAGAGACCGGACATCCAGGTCAAGGAGTCAGGCAGAACGTTCAGTTTCTGATGAGGGAGCTCTCTATGGCACGTAGCCAAGCAGCTGGCTTCCTGGCACATACTTATATGGTAGAGAGGGAGGGAGGATAGGATGGATGGAGGGGAAGAGAGAGAGAGAGAGAGAGAGAGAGAGAGAGAGAGAGAGAGAGAGGGAGGTAGGTTCTCTTGTGTCTCTTATAATGATGTCATCATGAGGGAACCATTATCATGACCTCATGCCAACATGATTATCTCCCAAAGGCTCTGGCAACCAAACTGTCATATGAGGATGCTGGTCTTTAATACATTAATTTGTAGTTCAGCCAGAACACTCGTACTTCTTAATTAATTGTATTTTCCAAAAATCCACCTCTGTTTTTCTCATCCTCTCTTGCTATGCACTCCCATGGCTTCACCCTCCCTACAGCAATGGCTCTTAATATTAGCATTAATATAGATGATAATATTCTATATTAGAATTAGAATGTATTATATAGAATATAATATATACAATAATATTCCATATTAACATTATTCTGTCTATCTATCTATCCTATCTAAAGAAAAGGAGGCCATTTTCTTTCAAACCACCACACTAGCTATCTGTCTATTCATCTATCTATCTGTCTGTCTGTCTTAGTTAGGGTTTCTATTGCTATGAAGAGAAACCATGACTACAGCAACTCTTATAAAGGGTAACATTTAATTGTGGTGGCTGGCTTACAGTTCAGAAGTTCAGTCCATAACCTTCATGGTGGGACATGGTGGCATGCAGGAAGACATGGTGTTGGACAGGTAGCTGAGAGTTCTACATCTTGCTCAGGCAACAGAAAGTGGTCTGTCTCATTGGATGTGGCTTGAGCTTATATGAGACCTCAAGGCCTGTCTCTATAGTGACACACTTCCTCCAACAAGGCCACACCTCCTAATAGTGCCACTCCCTTTGGGGGCCATTTTCTTTCAAACCACCACACTATTTATCTGTCTATTTCTCTCTCTCTCTCTCTCTCTCTCTCTCTCTCTCTCTCTCTCTCTCCATCATTCCTTCTAATTATATAATCTTTCCCATGTAAGAATCGGTGTGCTTTCTTTTTGATCCCTGTTGTTAGGTATTCGTTTCTGACTAGGGCTATTGTAAACAACACTGTAACACGTTCTCATCCATGTGTTTTTCTTTCATATTCAGCTTTTCATCTTCCTGGAGATTTTCAAGAGTCAATGACATTCAAAATGTGTGTGTGTGTGTGTGTGTGTGTGTGTGTGTGTGTGTGTGTGTGTGTGTATTGTGCTGAATGTCAAGCTCAAGGCTACACATTGGCTAAGTATGTGCCCTACCACTGGGCCGTGCCCCCAGCCTTAGATTAAATGTTTCTATAATGTTTGGGATATACTTTCTTCCTTTGAATCACATGGATGAAAGTGATGTGTCCTAGTTAGGGTTTCTATTGCTGTGAAGAGACACCATGACCACCGCAGCTCTTATAAGGAAAACATTTAATTGAGGTGGCTTACAGTTTAGAAGCTTAGTCCATTATCATCATGGTGGGACATGGTGGTGTGCAGGCAGATATGGTGCTGGAGAAGGAGCTGAGAGTTCTACATCTTGATCTTAAGGCAACAAGAAGTGAACTGAAACACTGGGTGTGGCTTGAGCATGTATGAGACCTGAAAGCCCACATCCACAGTGACACACTTCCTCCAACAAGGCCACACCTTCTAATAATGCCACTCCCTGAGTTTATGGGGGTGATTACATTCAAACTACCTCAGGATGTTAAAATATTGTGTGTGTGATATGTGAGTGTATGATGTGTGTGTAGGGGGAGATGCAGGTGTGTGCATGGAGGTCTGAGGGCAACATCTGGGTGTTGGTCCTCACCTTCCCACCTTCATCTGGACATTTTCTTATTTCTACTCCCCTGTAGGGAGATCTCCAAAGAGGCATTCTGGGATTACAGGCACTTGTGCTACACTGTGCAGCTTTTACCAGGGTTCTGGAGATCCAAACCTGGCTTGTCAGGCTTGGGCAGCAAGCATCTTTACCCACTGCGCCATCTGCCCAGCCCTAAGACATCTGTGAAGGCCTTACTTTTTACATCTTTTAATTGAACAACCCTCATGCTTTCTGCCACGGTGTTGCAATCACTAATTAGCTGTGCCAGGCTCTCTCGGGGATCAGAGGCTCTGGTTAACTCCCTGCCGCCTGAAGACCAGGCTCACAAGTTGACTCCCTCCCTCCTGTGGGTAGGGATGGAGCTAATCACCTTAGGATATCGGTAGAACTTGTTTTCATAGAGTCTCTCTGTACCTCGCTGTGCTGACTGACCCGACTAGAGCCTCTGTTGAAGAGAGCATGTAAGATGACCACAGAGAAGGTCAGTCACTCCACGGATGGCTATCCACGACTGAGGTGACAGCAAGCAGGCATCACGGGCTGTTTCTGAACCTGGGTGCATTGGATACTTGTGCTGCTGGCAGATCTCACCTCCTTCTGCTGGATACGCCTCTTTGTAATGACATTTTATATTCGCTAATAATTTGTATATGTTCCCTTTTGTAACCCTGAAGGACTTGCTTAGCAGAGCCAGGATAGTACTGCATTGAGTAGAGCTGTCCCGTGATGATCCCTTCCACGGTTATGCCTCTGAGTAGTTGGGTGATTATAAATACCCATTCTGGAGGACACAACAATTTTTCATAAAGGGGTTAGTTTCAGCCTGGTAAAACCATCCCCTGTTGGTTTGATTACTAGCCGGAATAACTCAGCTCTCAAGTGGTCCTTACTTACTTTAAAATAACTTCACTCATACATAAACTGGCCACTGGAAAATTGGTCTTTAGACCAATTAGT